TTCACTAAAACTCTGGTCCACAGAACAGACTTTACCATAGGCTGTATTATGTATGAACTAAATCTATAATTCCACCTAAATAAATGATAAGCCATCAAATCAATTAATATCTAGAACAAAACCAGGCTATAGTTAATTAGGGGACATTTTGTTGCAAAACTTTTTCACTCAGTTTGAGGACTCTCATGGGAAAAGACATTTAGGAATTTTAAATTAACTTCTTGGAATAATACCAACAAAACTTTTCTGCCTTTGTATGTTTTCCTATTGATAAATATATTCCCTTCTAATCCTTGATAAATCTAGATGTTTTTCAGTACTTTAAATTTGGAAAATCAGAGTTTTAGTCTGCATGAACTGATTATTTTTCTTTTTGGAGTTTCCTCCTTGACTCTATTTAAAGTAACAGTTGCTGAAAGCATGGCAAATGAGTGACCCTTTTCAACTTCCATTCATTTCTTATTTTTAAATTCTCTTCCATGCTTTGCAATAGAATGTGATACACAGCTACCTGAAGAAGCACTGAATGAGAGCAGTGTAGATGCAGCAGTTTAGTCTGGTCTAATCAGCCATGCTGAGACACAGTGTTAAGAGAGTGACATGACTGGCGTGGTGTTTGTTAGTCACATCCAGTCCACTGGACATGTTTCTATGAACAAGCATATATTTTATACTATATAAATATATATTAATACCTGAAAAAAACTATTTATATTGTCATGACATTTAGGAATGAAAATTAAATGAAGCACCTGAAGAAGAGGCAGAAGAAGCCGGGTATGTTCAGCCCCCTTTAGAGAAACGGGCTGCAGATCTAGAGTTTCATGTCAACTATCTAATGAAAAACTAGAGAGAAGGTAGAGCCAGACTCTTTCAGGAATGCACATCTAAAGAAAACTGAGCAATAGTCACAAGTTGCAGCACAGAAAATCCTCACATGGGATAAAGAAAAGTACTCAAGATGGCAATAAAGCACTGGAGCAGGTGCCCAGAGAGGTGCTGCCATTTCCATCCTTAGATTCAAAACTGAGATGACTTTGCCCCTGTACAGCCTGATCTAAATACAAAGTTACTTTTGCTCAAAGGCTCTGGACCACAGGACCTCCAGATGTACATTCCAACCTACCAAACTGCACTTCTCTATCATTTTAAGATATCTGTAATGCTTCTGCATAAAAACCAGTGTGAAAATGGCCAACACAACATTGTAATTTCTCAACTTTTCTTGCACAGATTTACTCCCCTTTTAATCTTTTCATAAGGATTATGCAATTTTATAAAATGGAGTTGTCATAAACTTAAGTTTTGGTGAAGCTCTCCCATTTAAATGGGGAAAAATTAAGGTTACATACTTATGAAAGGTACAGATCTGTCAACAACTAGGTTAAGAGGTGCCCAATATGAAACCATGTCTTCTGTCTCAAACTGACAATTGTATAGCAGATCCCTAAAGTCTTCTTTTTATTTTAGATTTTTTTTGTCACATACGTGTTTACAAACACCTACATATATACTCACACACAGTGAAGTTAATAAAATTTAAAACTTATACACAGTACTGAAAAAATAAGAGTAAGAAAATTGCAACCACTATTTCTACTGGTGGGAATCAGAATGTTACAATCTCTCTCATAGTAAATTTAATTAATTATGAGAAAAAGAAGTGACTCTTCAAAATCCTTAGTATGGGCCTACCTTGGTTTCCATTTTTAACAATTCAATAAATATCTTTGCTGTTTTATTTGTCAAGAATAGAAACAAAGTTATAACAAACATCACAGAATATTACAGGAGGCATCTCATATTGCTTTGAGGAACAGAGCAGCACAAAATTTTAAAATTTTATGTACTGTATTACAAAGAAGAGGAATGAGTATGACAGATGGAAACAATCTACAGGGCAACTAATTAAAATTGTTCAACTTCAGACACAGATTAATAAAAAGATTCATGGTAAAACTTATACTAGTCTATCAAACTTTGGTAAAGTGGCTTTCTTTCTGAGTATCTTCTTACGATGATGTATTTAAAACATTTTGTGTTTATTCCAGAAGAATACCAATTTCAAGAATACCAAGTGGTATTGTTCAAATTAGAAGGTAAATCATGTTTGGACACAGGGAAAGAAAAATGTGGGAATCATTCACTGCCCTAGACAACAAATAAGAAGTCTTACAAACTGAAGCAAAGTAAAACCGTTTCTTTCCATAACTCTACATTAACTGGAAAGCTAGCAAGGCTAGTATGAGTTAAATGAATAAATGTATCTGCTTATGATACTATGTAATATTTGAAAACCTTGGAAATACACCAACAGACCTGGAGTGAAAACCTGAGTTTACAGAAATTTCTTTCTAGTTGGGTATTAGAGTGGAACCAGATTTAACTCCAAAATTTTCATCTTACCATCCAATATTCACTTCTTTCCCCTTAAAGCCTATATTAAATGCATATTTTCGTTTCTCATTCTTTTTAACCGAAAACACCTATGATTAAAAAGATTGTTCTGGAATATGTTTTAAAAACCTGTTGGATTAAGGTTCTCCAAAAACCTTTTTGAATTCCTGAGTCTAACTCCAGTCTAATCCCTTCAGAGTAAAGTTAGCTTGTACCTTTAAAGTCTAATCTAAAAGATTTAAAAATAGCAAATTGTATGGAACTCAATCTGTTTATCTGAAAAGGATGAAAGGGTTTGTACTCCATCTAGATTTGAACTTTTGGTTCCACAGTGTCTAGGTATTTCAAACTAGAGGTTTATACCACGAGGTTTATAAGACTCGACACTCATGATAATTCCATCTTTCCTATGTTAATAACCATGTTAGAAACATAAATGAATGCCTTGATAAACTAGTCAAATATATTTTTAAATACTAAATGACAAATAATATGAAAAGTAACTATCAAAATTTCCATTTCAGTTGCAAGAAGTGATATGCTTCTTTTTTTAAATAATTTCTTACAAATCTCATAAAAAAGGGAAGTCAAAAGCAGGAACATTAGTTCATTACCTAATGACACGATGAAAACCTCTCTCCCATTTATTGCCTTTGTCTCATCCCACTTGCAAGGTAATCTGCTCAAGACTACCTTAGCCAACAAACTGTGAAACAAATCCAATGCACCCTATAACACAGGCAGCCCCAGTTAATATTGTTCAAATTATTTACATCTGAAGGGCCGCGCCTGTCTGGATAGCTGGGCCCGACGCTTCTCTGGACTTGCTTTCTGCTACTCACATCTGTTTCAGCTTTAGACTTTCACTGGTATTCTGCCAGCAGCCACAACTTTTTAATGGCTACAATAAACTACAGAGACTCATCAAATCTTTGTTGTACGTGTTAAAATTATAATCTCTTCAATTAAAATTCTGATTTAAAAATTAACTACAGCATTAACTGAAGAAAAAATTTGAAAGGGAATCTTTGAAAAAAGATAAGTTCTTATATAAGTGATTGTTTGTTTAAATGTAGGAGAAACAATCACAAGGAATGCTTGCTAGAGTCTGTTGCATATTCTAAGTGATAAAATACCAACATTCTGAAAACATTTCCACAACCTTTTTTGTTTCACATCTTTGCTGTCATTAACTTTGTGTGCTAATTGCTGTGACTGGCTTTAAAACACACCTTTACAAAGAATTATGGAAACAACCTCAAGATAACAATTTTTCTAGATTTGCTACAAATACCTACAAAAATTTGGTTTAGAAGACAGAAATGAGTGATTACAAGAAAGCTGAAGTTTTTACTTTAAGAGTAAGAGTTTAGCTTTTCCTACTCGCTGTTTGCGTCTTTGCAATGTAGAACAAATATGATGTGAATGCTCCAGCCTCAATGCAGCTCCTGCTCGACTAAGATGTATGACAGCAGGACTACATGCTGAAAAAGTACAAGATCAAACACAGATCATGTTTCTGCAAAAACTAGCCCAAAAGAGGGCAGGCCAAGGGGCTCACAGGGCCAAGCGATGAGAGGAGATAGAGCACTCACTTATGCCTGGGTCGAACAAACAACAACTGATACTTTCCTACCACTATTAACCTTTGAAATTATCCTAAGGATGGCAGTGACCTAATCCAGCAATTCCTAGCTGTAAGGATAAACTATTTCGAAACGGTTTTCAGCGCCTTTCATTGAAAAAATTTGAAAACAATTATCTTGTTCAATTCTGATTATAAAAGGACTCTTCTAGACTGGTGCAAACATGCAAATCTAAATGTAAAACTTTTTACATGTTTTTAGGCAGATTCTCTTCTTAAACTCCATCTTCTACACAGAACTCCCTTAGTAAAGTAGAAACTTTCCTATAACAAGAAAAAGGCTTAAAATATTCAGTCATCATTTGTTGAATTTATTTTAGAAAATTACATGCAGCACAAAATAAAAAGAAACTGCTTGAAATACTTAAGAGCACAACCCTTCCTACTTTATTTCCACTCAGTACCTTGATTGATAGATGAGTTGGGTTTCTGAGCCCCTCTTTATAATAAACATTTTAAAATGTTTATTTTATGTCCCAGGGTGAAAATATTTTGAACTGGAGCTTTCCATTTCCCTTTGCTCTGCCTTGGCAAGCTGTGTTTTATTTCTACATTAATAGTATTCAACTCTTTCTTGTAGCTTTTAAATTGTTGTTATACAAGTACTGAAGAAAGTATTTATGTTATGGAGCTAACAGATATCTTCAGTTAAACACATAGTTCTGGAGAAGCCAGAGAAAAATTCACATATAACTGAAGGAATATTCAGAAAGATTTCTTAAGGGGCCTTTCGATTGTAAAAGGGAAAATTACTTTTCAGGATCTCTACTTTCATTTTTATTAAGTCATGAGTTAAATTTTTTTTCTTTCTAATTTATGTGAGTAATTTGTGCCACAGTGTAAAAACTCTAAATGAATCAACACTATAAACCTAATTAGCAATAAGAAAACCCCATAAAGATCACATTTTAAATGGCACTTTGTTGTTAGCAGAACAAATGTGAAAGTTCCCAGTTACCTTCTAGATCTCTCCTCAGTTTCCTTAAGTCTTTTATTAGGTCTTCAAATTTAACTTGGGAGGCCTGGAAAAAATCCTGTGGTTCTGGTAAAGGAAAAATACTCTTGTCTGTTCCTGCTTCCTAAACAAACAAACAAACAAACAAACAAGCCACTATAAAAACTGAATGCATTTAAAGTGAAATAAGTAGCTTTTTAAAAAAATTCATCTATGCAACAGCGTTATAAAATTACAAAAATCACATCTTTTAAATCATTCTTGCTAAAACAACATCTCATTCAAGATTAAATATTGACCATTCTGAGCATTGAAACTTCCTTTTAGATGTTGTAAAGCAAACTGTGCTCAATTTAAACTTTGAAACAACATTAAACACAGAACATTTCAGTTAATTTTATGTTAATCAAGGTTTAGATAAGGGATTAGAAGTTTCTTAGAAAAAGATAACAGGAATGCCCATTTTAATGCAAGAAGGGATCTAATGACAAACGTTTGTGGTTTCACTCTCTCACAATTCATTAAAAACACACACACTTTATAAGCATAAATTGGAAATCCTATTCATATATTTCCTGAAGCACTTCACACTGATAAAAATACACAGCTGAATGCTTATGTGGGTAAATAAATAACAGGGGTTAAAGCCTGCATGGAACCCCTAAGTATATACCTTATTTTTAGCACAGTAAGAAAAAATAATCAGAAGTAAAACAAATAAACAAACAAAGCCAAGAGAACCCCCCCCCCCCCCATACAAAATAAAACAAAATTAAAAAAGACCCTGCAACAAACCAACAAAAAACTTTTACAAGGTTCAAAGCAATATCTCCAGTGGAATTTTAGGAAGTAAAGTATGTATAAATGGTATTAAGTTTGAAATATGCATATGCCTGCATGGATTTCAATCTGTAATAAAGGAAAACGCATAGGTTGGAGAGCTAATTGTTTAGTGAATGGGGAAAGAATAATTTTTTATTATAAACATTTTGGTGGAGAAAGTGCAATGGATGATAATTACACTGTGTTTATTTACTCCCAAGGAAGATACACAGTTTTGTTTCACAAAATTCCCTGAAGTAAAATTACAGCATAGGAGGAAGTTTGCAGAAATATTAACTAAATTAATGAAATAAATATTTTAATAAATTCTTTAGAAAGTATAAAAATCCCAGTTCCCCCCAAAAAATCCAAACCAACAAAAATACCAATGAGAGAAAACACAAGAAAAAAAAGAGAAACAAAGCCAAAAACCTTAAAGAAAGAATACTGATACAGATCTATATATCTGAGGACTACTAACTCATCAATGCAACAACCTTATGTAAGAATTTAAAAAAAGAGAAGAGAAAATAAAAAAAAACCTAAATTGTTGAAAATCATTGTTAAAATAATTTAATAGCAACATTTTCATATAAAATAAAATAGTTCAAATTTTCCACTCAGTAAATTTGGCTATTGCCAATAACAAAAAATAAAAAAAAATATATATAATAAATGAATGCATATAATACATATAACTGCATGTACAGAGGAGTATAATATAGAATACAATGGAACTTACAGCAGCATTTCAACCCCAAACTTCACCCCCATCAGCTGACCCACCTATCTTAAAATACCAACCTGTCCTTGCATTTTTTGTCCTAAGAGAGAAATCGGGCTTCTCCCTTCCAATACCATGGCATCAGAAGAAATTTTACAATGTTTCAGCAACCCAGATGTAATAAGGCAGGGCTGGAGAGACCACCTGTCCAGTCTGCATCAGTCACCGCTAACTGCCTGCAGTGGTTCTCTCAGCAACCAAGGTCAAATTTTTCCAAGTCTTACCTTGAAACTTAGAGCAAGTTTCATGCCTATTGAGGTACACAACTATTATAAGAAAGCAAAAGAAATGGATTTTATTTCCCCATCTGAGGTATTACATTCAGATTTCTATAAAGCTGTAACAAACCCTTTCACCATCTCTTAAAGAAACCAAGTTTTGGAGAGGCTGATAGAGCAAATCCTTTACCTTATCACAATGGCGTAGGTAGTATATGACAACATAATCCACAAGATTAATACCATTGTCCTAGAAAAAATTTAAAATGTGTGATTAACACTGATTCAGTGTGAAAATGTACTCTATTTAAAATTAAATGAATTATTATTTTATATTGCTGTGAGAAATAGGATTCACAATACTTTTTTAGCCTTAGCATTACTGATCAAAAAAATTTGATCTTTTACAACAGCGACTTCATCGTACCATTACTAGATTCAGAGTTTATTTTTTTTTAAATACCAGAAAAAATACATGCAGAGAAGAATACATGGGAGAAGCTTTTTATGTAATAAGAGAAAACATTACAGAATGATAATATTAACTCAAATAAAAATATTATTCAATAATACTACTCTTAAACATAGTATCAACTAAATATTACAGGCACCTCAGGTACAATAATGTGAAAAGAATTTCTTGATTCCTATATTCTCAATCATCTATAAGAAAGATCCAAAAAAGGCACAGATACTTTACATATTTTATTCTAAGTATGAAATTAGATAGCATTCAACTAAGAAGTATACCTCATGCCCTGTTACCGTATAAATATGAATTTTAATTCTCACTTTATGGAATCACTATTTCCATGTTCCTACGCACAACTGTAAACAGTATTTTATTTTGTTACATGTCATTGGGTCAGCATGGGCCAGATGAACTAAGGAAAAGTTATACATTACATTCAGCAATATAAAAGAACCATGATATAGGGAATTATATCTGGAATGCCTTTGAAGTATTTTGGATGTGTTTTCATATTTTATATTGACAGGTATCAGAACAAACATTTGTATGTGAACAATGTCTGACTTCCTGTACAGAGTTGCCTTGTCTATATGAGAGTCTGCAGCACATTATATTTTATTAGTATCATACACCAGCAAAATTCTTAACTAAGTAAGTCACTGCTGTCATGCAGGAAAAGTCACCCTGCATGTTTAAGAGTTTTAGAAGCCATTACTGACAGGTCAAAAAATCTCAATAAAAAGTAACTTTCTAAGCTCATATGACAATAAATGACTTTTATGTGAAATAAGAGGTATTTAGCAGTGGCTCTTTACCTTAGCTCATGGAATTCAGCTCAGTTAAGATGTATTTGCTGGCAACTCACGAGAAGGGAATAATAGGACAAAGGAAGAATAACTTAATGCTCAAGTGTACAAGACCCTGCATTCTTCTCCTTTTCAAATACAGACTAACAATTACATCTGAGGTTTCACATCTCCCTGAACCCTATGAGTTTTCATGCATTTTGAAGGCTAATAACATATTTATTCTGGCTACCAGTAAACTGTAAATAATGTGGGTTTTTAGCTTGTTTTGCTAAGGAACAAGTCTTTCATAGTTATTTTTTATATCAGTCACTCCTTTTCATAATGCATAATTTTGGAACAAGCTTGCTAAATTCAGCCACATTGGAAAGTCTCAGAGATTATTAAATTCTATGAAGTTTATAGGTAAATAAAAGAGTGACACTAAGCCTAGCAGTTCTGCTGAGAAAAGTCAGGCAAAGCTGAGTTTTACATTTTTCTTCAAGGCAGCTAGCCAGCCAACAAACGCCTGAGTAATGGAAACTTGGCCTGGTTCTAGTTAAGCTGCTGTTTGTACTGTGTCTTCTCCATGCAGTAGGACTGGGAAAAGGCGGTTATATGGAACAGCTGAACCATCACAGTGAAGACAAAAGTAAGAATTAGAATCACGAAATAATTTCAGTCAGAAAATACCTTTATGATCATTGAGTCCAACTGAAAATTCAGCACTGCCAAATCCATCAGTAAACTATATTCTTAAGTGCCACCTCCAGGGTTGTTGATTCCATAATCTCTCTGGGCAGCCTGTTCCAATGCCTTATAACCCTTTCAATGAAGAAATTTTTCCTAATATCCAAGCTAAACTTCCCATGCAAGAACTTGAGGCTGCTTCCTCTCATCCTATTGTTTGTTACTTAGGAGAGGACATCAACCCCCAGCTGGTTACAGTCTCCTTTCCGGGAGCTACAGAGAGTGATAAGGTTTCACCTGAGCCTCCTTTCCTCTGCTAAACTACCCCAGCTTCCTCAGCTGCTCCTTATAAGACTTGTGCTCCAGACTCTTCATCAGTTTTGTTCATCTTTGGACATGCTCCAGCACCTCGACATCCTTAGGAGACAAAGGTCTCAAATCCTTTGGAAAAAGCTTTCATTAAAACACTGAACAATTCATCAAATGTGTTTCTACACTTTGTTAATGATGATAAAAGGAAAACAAGTAAAACAAAATGCTCCATAGATAAACTGTTTTGCTGACACTTCCTGTCTCACAAATGCAGTCCGGTGTACATGAAGCACAATAGGGAACAAAAGCTTAAAGTCTACATCTCTTGTAGTCAAGAAAGCATGCCTCACAAGAAAAGTAGAAGAGCGTGAAAGTTTTTTCCTCACCCTCCAAGTCTATACCAACATCAGCAGAAAATTATCTCCTATTCTTTGCTGCTTCCTATATCCATGTGGTGTCTAGGTATGTTCTGGCAAAGAATTACTTCAAGCAGTGTTCCCAATGCCTACATTCCCTAACACCTCCTGCTCTGCCCTACAGAAATAAGAAACAAAGTAATCTCATCTCAGAAGGTTTCTAGCCTTTCAGCCTGACTTTGATCCTAGCATGACTAATCAAAAACCAGCTAGTGCTTCTCAATTTTTTACAAAATAATTTACTGCCATCTATGAGCATTTTCTTACGCATGCCACTCAAATTTCACATTCCACATCCATTTAACTGATAATTTAAAAAAAAACCCTGAAAGTATCTTGTTGGGTGTGACATCTCTTTGATCCCTTATACATAATTTGTTAGTGTATACACTACAATGAACAATTACGGATATTTTGATTTTAAACCTGATTTTTAAAGAGTTTTCATTTACACAGAACAATCTTCATTTAAGAGCATGAAAAAAGAATGAGGACATTTACTGGGTAAGACTTGAGCAATCTGTGCTCTCTCACTTTTCTCTACCCTACTACTATTAAGTCCCTGCTAATAAAAGAGACACACAGAAGTTCTCAGATAAGGTAATTATCCTAGTAGTACCAAACAGGAGAAATTAGATATTAAGGAAACACACACATATTCCAGAGAAGAAGGTGAAAAGCTAGGAGAAAAAAAGAATGAAAACTGTACAAAGCACCTAGTTTTTTCAAGGAAGAATGGTAAGAAATAAATTATTAACTCCTGTCAGATGAAGAAACAATAAAAAAAATCACTTCAGAAAAATTATCTTTAACCAAACATAAGTACTTACTCTGCTTTTGACATCTTTTAGTTTGGGGAGTATTTCCAAACCAAACCCATCAGCTTGACCTCGGGTCCTATTCCCTCCGTTCATATAATTTCCAAAAGCCAGAATCAAGCCCAAAATTTCCTTTACACTTTTCATGCTCAGCAAAGCCTGGAAAATGGATACTGGTCTGTAAATCTGGTTGACATAAAAATTCTAATTGCTAATATAAAATGTTTTTTTCATTTTATTTTTGCTATAGTTTTTTTCTTGTCTGTTTATACCTTGGTATGTAAGGGGAGCTGAAGCTGGTGCAATAATCAAAACTTTAAGAGAAGCATTTTTTACACTACATCTCCGTAAGATAAATATGTTAAATGTAATCCATATGAAGCAAATTATATGGCATCAAATACTATGTCAATGACAAAAAGATTAATGGAAGATTTCTAAACATTCTCAGAAGACTTAAAAATCTTACATACAAGGAGGTGGTTTATCATGAGTTTGCATCATGCACAGTTAAATGGGGATGTGCTATTTTTGCTGTCACCAGTCTGCTTCTCATGGATCTGAAAATTCACATTCCTGGATCCATACTTAATCCAGACATGAGAGAGCTAGGACTAACTAATTACATACCTCAGATCAGAAAACAGTTCTAGAAACACAGTGTAGAACTAGGAAATTATTTTCAGTTTCATATAAAGACATGTCTCAGTTGACAATCTGAGGCCACAGGCATAATTTTTAACTATGTAGTCTTATACACTAGATAAATCAGTTTCAGTGTGAACTCCTCAGAAGTGAACTGAAGGCAATACAGCTTTCCCTATCTCACACAACACTGATTTTTCATACCCCCTTTGGAAAGGAAGGAAACAAGTAACCATTTCTATTACAAAGAAATCCAAATGGATAGAGCATGGGTACTCTGTGAAAGCAAAGCTAGTCAAGAACTAATCTTCAAATTAGAAAAAAAAAAAAATTAACTACTTTTCTGGTTAGGATGTTAGACCTTTAGGCCACTATTTAATTTCTCCCCTAATTTTCACCTTGTTCTACTTTTCATAATTTATTTGTTATAATTTAAAAATCTTGTCCTTAGTCTTTCATATTGTGTAGATATTAGGTAGACTTTGCCCATAGTAAAAATTATGCTGTATCAGGGTTACCAGAAATTAATAGATGCCAAGGGAGAGTAAGAAGATAATGAACATGACACGCATCTACTGGCATTAACAGGGCTATGCAAATAAAAGGCAGTTTGCAAGGTCCTGTACTAAGCTTGCCTTATATTTAATTCCTAGTTTATGGAGATTATCTATTATGCAAAGTAATAAAAATCTACCATTTAAATACAAATAAATTTCTACATACTCCATGGGGCATCACATGCAATGAACTTTCCCGCTTCCCTCTTCCTTCTTTTAAGCAACTAAAAATTTACTACTATATTTATTTCCTAAAAAGTCAGTAAGCAAGATCAAAGTTCCTCACTTATGGTAAAAAAGAAGCCTAAATACTCTAAGACAAAATTAAAATTAACTTAAGTTTTAATTTAGCTTTCATGAGGACTCACCTTGGAAACACGAGTCACAATATCGACCTTCCGGTGCACTGATGTTATCCCTTCAAGGAAAACCGACTGGAAGATAATACACTGAGCTCGCTCTGCAAAGTTGGGGATTTGAGACAACTCATACAGAAATCTGTGGGGAAAAAAGGACTATTAATGAATCTTTATAATTCTTCTCAGTGGATTACATAATGGATCAAAGCCTACAGTATCATGAAATATACATGCATTCTTTCCTTTTTGAATCAAATCTGTCAGAATTTATAATTGTTATATTCTTTATGGTAAGAATGCATTAAAAATCTTATTAATGTCAAGAAAAAGGCAAGACATTAACCAGTATCATATCAACCATTAACTATCATAGCTGCACAGTAATAAACAGAGGAATCTCAAACTTAAATCATCCATTTGGAGAAAAAGAAAATCTACATAGCGCTACCTACATACCAACTTATACAGTCTTGCTTCCCTTAAAAATGTGCTCAGAAATACAGAACTCAATACTTTCCTACAAATTTATTTCATACTATAAAATTTCTGCCAACAGCTTTCTTCTGATTCTTAGCATCAATTTTCCTTTTCTAATTCGCACCACACTTTCGATCATATAGCAGCATGTTCCATGGGAACACACCTAGCTGTGTATTTAGCTCTAAAATACTTGCAGAGTATATCTGCCTTCAGTCACTGCTCAGCAAAGGTACTAAGCCTTCATCTGCTCTATATCTGTTCTCACAGATATATATATATTCCTCATGACTCTATTGTAGCTTTTCATCTGTTAACTCTTGGTAAATAACAATAAATGAAGGCACATTCAACAACTGTAGTGTAGACCTCACAAAATAAAAGCATCTCAAAGCATGAGTAATTCCTCCCTTTTCATCAATTTAAAATAAAAGAGCTTGGCTAATAATACAAGAAGCTCTAGCATTTATATAATAACAATAATTTGCTCTTGGGTTTTTAATTCAAGACTTCAGAGATACAAAAGCTTTCTTGAAATCCAGAAGCAAGCTTGTCTTTTGCTCCAGTATCACTGAAGCATCATTCTTCTAATCTCCTGTCTACAGATATCCTCAGATTCCCCCTAATGCAATGCTGTAAGGATTTTTTTCTACCTCACTGAATTACAGGAAATCCAGTATTCAATTTATTAGCTTGAATTATTTTTAACTTAATTTTAATTATTTAGGCCAATAGACCTTATTTTTCCAAATTACTTATTTTTCACAATAAATAAAAGCAGTATGTTTAAATCTGCTTTACATGTTTCTCATGGATGCTAGGCTTTGCTGAGTACATAGTGACTGTTTAAAAAACCAGCAGAATTCACCTGTGGCGGGTGTGAAATACTATGTTTTAATTGGACAATTTTTTTGTTTCTTTTTGTTTCTTTTTCTTTCTTGCCTGATGAAAAAACCTATTGTGAGAGAAGGATCAGGGAGGCCCAGCTTGGCTCTTAGACTTAAGAAGTGGGAAAAAAGAAATGCCAAGCTGGTATTAATAAAAATGCTTCCTATTGGGAATGAATGGTATTGCCAGGAAAAAAAAAAGAGGGTATTTTGCACTTTGTGTGAGAGAAACAAAGGAAAGAAAAACCAAACTCCTTCATTAAAGTTCTAGCATACATACAATTAAAAAGTTTAAATTTAAAAAGTCAAATGACACATATTCTTGCCTTCCTGTGAAAAGAGAACTATTTCCCACATGGCTGACCATTGAATATAATGTCATTGTGCTAAGAGTTAAAAGAGCATCAGTGTAAAAAGAAGATGTCTTCAGCTTCTGGAATTCAGAGTATTCAAAGTAAATAACCAGACAGAACACTTACAACTGAAATCTGTCACAAAAAGGAATCTTAGTGACTACAAATGTAGCAACTAATTCAAAAGTCATAGCATGAAAACTATGGCTGTCACAAATAAACCACCAATTCAGATGGACAAAACTTCAGAAGAGAAAGAAACATTCTTATTTCAATTTTACTCTGAGAAAAGTAGGTTTTTTACTTAAAATAATGATGATGTGGCTGTGACATGGCTTTTGGATGGGTTTCTCATTACTACAATTCTGATGGCTGAAAATAAACATAGAAAATGAGGTACATCGTACTCCTCTCTTTCAGAAACTGTCAAGAAAAAATGCTTTTACTTGAAAACTCCTTTAGCCTACCAGAATCTTCTAGTTAAGGACTTGAGAGAACTTTCAAGCCAGGCATATTGTTATGGTGTTAGTGTAAGAGCACATTCTTGCAGAAGATGGACAAGGAAGGCTGATTCTAAGGAGGTAAACTAATTTCCAGATGACATTTATCTGCATTTGAAGAATATAAAATTTAGAAGCAATTTCTTAGGAAAAAGGTGTATCTAATCCTGCAAGCCTCTAAGTATGACAGCAGGATTTAAACTGAAGTCCAAGCAGAGCTGTCTTCAAAGAGAAGCCAGTGGCATTACTGGGACAAGGATTATAAATCACTCCCTACTTCCTGAATCAAACTACATTCAAACCAGTACCATATTGTTACTATTTCCTTCATTAGTACTTATTTCATAGTGGAGAAGCCTACACAGACATTATACTACAACTAAATGGAGTCTCTTGGAAAGTAGCTATAGCGTCTGTATCCTGCTAGGAAAGTCTCGAACTGTGGCCAATTTTGCATATAAATCTTTAACATGCCAATTAATATTAGCATTTTAACAGCTATTATCATGAAGAATAATTTAGGGGGGTATTGTTACGTTGCTGTCATCCTTACAGTGTGTGCCAAATTTAACATCACGTGTGGAGAAGAACGTCAGTGATACCACTAAAGCTTTTTATCTGTCTGGTAATCCAAACATGTAAGGGTTTCCTTTAGACTTCAGTGAACTCAATTCAAAGGTTCCACTATATGAATGACAACTGTTAGCATGTGCAATCGTTTGATAAATTATTTCATGTACACTTTTGTTCTCATTCTCATTAAAGACAATACTGAGGCTTATGCCCCACAGCATAATCACACATACAAATTTAGCACTTTTCTGTCTTTAACCTTTTATGGGGCTAATAAGTAAAGCACAGCTCCAACAAATCTCCTGTTCTGCAGTTAGGCAGACTTAGAGGCTGACTGAGACAACAAAGCCAGGGGCACATCATCTACTGAGTTTTCAGAAAGCACATTATTTTGAAGGTCCAACAAAATTTACAGAAGTGCATAAAGCAAATTGTTTGCCCTTTAAGCTACCTTCTTAAAAGCTAGTGTTCTTAACCTGTGCAGTTTAATTATAGGGAAAAAATGGGATACTTAAGACTTGCAGAAAGAGCATTGAGTAATAATTGATAAAAAAATAGCTTTTGTTTTTGATACTACTATTTCACTCTGAACCACCAGGCATAACTGCTTCATTTACAGTTCTTAATTATGGAACAATGATAGTATAAATCTGACTTTGCATTTAATTAAGATTAACCTCTCTCCACTATAAGTTACAAAAAAGACAACCTCCTATAACCCTAGAGCTCTACAAGATTCGTATTCTCCAGAAGACAAAATGCATTCATATTTATTTAACTTGGACATACAGCAAACAGACTGCCAAAGAGTCAAGCTCTGGAAAACATCAGCTAGTCACACAATGTATTCTTATGCCCCAAGCCAAGGCAATGAAAACCATGGACATGGCATGCAAAAGTAAGCTAGTATATAAACTTTACAGATATTTGTCTTCTTAAGACTTACTAAAGAACAATAGCCTCTCTTCATCAAGAGTAAGGTAACAGCCTTATCTCCTAATATTAGTGTGCAGTTACAAGTGAATATTTAGCTGCCTCATATAAGGAGCAAAAGAAAAAAAATAACCTGTTCTTCAGCACTTACATTTTAATGGGGAAAAAAGGTATGAAAATACATTAATTCTGACATTAACCATCATATACCATCTCTGTTTGAGTTCCTCCTCCCCCTACCCTTTCTTACACCAGAGACAGCAGAATAGACAAAATGGAAAAGGAAACAAGACAACAGAGAGGCCTCTGGGAAGGAAGAATTGAAAAGGATAAGAGTACAGAAGAAAAAAGGCAGTGAAGTAGCAGAAGACAAAAAACACTGATAGGCCAATGTCTGAAATCAAATGTCTACACAAATATAAAATTCAGGTTTACCGTTCTGCTCAAAAATTCTTGAGGATTCTTTCACATCAGTCTAAGGTGTATTACAACACAAGGAGCAACATTTAACTTTTTCATCCTAACAGTTGTCACTGGCCACAACAGTTCCAGGAGAACTGTGGCATCAGTCTTTTAGGTTTACACTGAACCTAAAGCATCAGACCAGAGTATCCAAGGTGTCTTTGACCATAGGATCAACCCAAACCCTCTGTTCATGCAGCTTCTTCAAACAATTAACAACCAAAATCAGTTAGGCCTCGCTTTATGTAATGCTAATTAAGCCACAAATGCTCTAAGGGAAGGAAAAGCCTTTTAAAAATGTGAGAATGGGAACAAAATTCTTATTGATTCAAGGCAACATATTTTATCAGTTCTGGTGGTCAAAGTTGATGTAGTAAACTCTGCCATGTCTGAAAAAGTTTTGTGATAAGGGCAAATTTTTCATCATGTCTTGAAATACAAAAAGTTTATAGTTTTAGAAAAGCTTATAATTACCAAGAATTATACATCAAAACTGCTTTCAACATATAATCAAAGGACTACATTATGTAATGAAAAAGTATTAAAAAACCCCAACAACTTACTGTTCTGGTTTATCCAGAAGCTTCAGTTCCTCCTCTTTTGAAGTCTGGTAATATTGCTTGATTTTCTCCAGCTCATCCTTTTGTGCTCTCTGAGTTAATTAATATAAACTAATTAGTTACTAATTAGTAAGAAATGAATAAATTACTACTTTACCTGTTTGCCTGCAAGCCAGCAATTATGTTTTTTTAACTGAGAAACATTTAGACTATGCAAAAGAGGGATACTTAAAGATCTATAATAAATTCCTTCAGTGCCTTATATGCCATTTACTGCACATTACCATGCCCAAGAGTATTTTCCAAATACTTCTTGAATTCTATCAGGCTGATTCCATGACCACTTCTCTGGGGAGTCTGTTCCAGTGCCCAAACACCCTCAGGGTGAAGAACCTTTTCCTAATACCTAACCTAAATGTCCCCTGACGTGACTTCAGGCCATTCCCTTAGATCCTATCACTGTCACCACAAAGAGAATATCTTCCCCTCTTCCCCTTGTGAAGAAGCTGCAGGCAGCCACGAGGTCTTCTCTGTTTCCTTCAAGCTGACAGGCCAAGTGACCTCAGCTGCTCCTTGTATGTCTTGCCTTCAAGGTCTTTCACCAACTTCATAGCCCTCCTTCGGATGCTCTATAACATCTTGTATATTTTTTATACTGTGGCTCTCAGAACTGCCCCCAGCACTGGAGGTGAGGCCACCCCAGCTCAGAGCAGAGGGGACAGTCCCCTCCCTTGCCTGGCTGTGATGCTGTGCCTGATGCTCCCCAGGACGCAGGTGGCACCCACAGTTCTGTCCAGCTTCAACTCCAACTGAGCTTTGGCTGCACAAATTTTCTCCCCAGAGTTGCAAGCAGCATCTCTGTACTCCTCCCACATCAGCTGACCTTGCCTTCACTGGGCATACACATTCTTTTCTTGCCTTGGCTCCAAAAGATCCCAGCTCAGATAAGCCAACCTTCTGCTTCATCTGCTTGAATACTTACATTTAGGAATTTCCTGCTCCTGTGGCCTTCATAAAATGGTATTTGAAAAAATAATCTGCACTGATGGACCCCAGAACCTTCACAAGTATTTTCTCAGGGGACCTTACTCACTAGTTCCCTGAGCAGCCTAAAGTCTGTATCCAAAATACTTTGGTGATTAAACACATTTTTACCCCACCTTTACTTACATTTTCATACAGGGCTTCCAGTGTCTCCAGATCTACTACAGAGTCATCGACACACAATATAGCTGCATAGAATACAAACACAAATTAGACACTGGATTATCACTTCAGTTCTTTTCCTGTGAAATGTACCAAAGGGTTCTAACCTAGATGCAGGACATTTATGTTTCCAGTTAATTTTTTTTGTTCTAATGTCAAATCACAGCAATCCTGCAAGAATGTTCTATAAACTCAGTCTCAGGAGAGTAGAGTTCTACTGTTTCTCTCCAATATAATCAGCAGTCAAAGATGTGACCAGTCAAGTAGCCAACTGATTGTGTAGCTGCCCAGGCAGAAGAACATGAGACAACTGATACCAAAAAACGAACAGCACAGATTTTATGTTAGCTTAGAAGGCTGGAAGGAATTGAGAGTGAGGATATTTAAGTCTCCCTGTGTGCACAGGAAATCAATGAGATATGCTTGTCTAGGAGCTAGCAATCTTGGTAAGCAGAGAAGTAGACCAACTTTCAAAGTTTACAAGCTATATAAATTTGCAAGCAGAAAAGACTGTGCTACAATTTTTAAGTTATCTTCAACAAGTTCACTTTTAAGTTAGCTTTATCCAATAGAAAACTATCCACATGACAATTTACAGATAAATCCTTCTCAACACCACACAGACACACATGCAGTATACTCTTAAGTGATTAATCATGCTTCATTACTAAAAATGGGAACTCTCAAAATGTTTCCTATATTAGTTCCAAATATTACTGTGTTTGGAATATATGAAATTGGTGCTTCCAACATTTGCAAATGCCATTAAAATTTAGCCAATTGTTATTGGTATTGGAAACTCTTGCTATTGGAATACTGGTATTGGAACTCTTCTGAAAATTAAATGGGATTGCTTCATGGTGCTTTCTAACACACTCTAATGTTAAATTCCAGTAAGCTGAGAGATGCACAGTGGAATGGAAGTAACTGTGGATGTTTAAATTTTCTGAAACCAGCTTTTCCTCAAGATTCATAAGGGGACTAGGCACAACTCTTGAACTCATGGCTTATGCTTATATATTACTGAAAACATTAATCCCAAAAGAATCAAGGGCATAACCAGTGAGATGTTATTAGTTACTACCTGATAACTTTTAATTCAACTGTATTATATTTCCTCAAATGATCCTTGGCTGCTTAGGAACTTAGAGGATTTTAAAAGCTCTTGCTGCATTTGTAAACCATGCTTGAAAGGGGCAAGGCACACATCTTTAAATAATTATTAAAAAGTAATAAGCTTTCTCCTGCTCTACCACCTACCCCATGATTTTACATTGTGAAATTAACCAGCAGGCTAGTAAATTTTCTCTGTGGCAGGCTAATTAATTTTATTAAAAGGTCCCGTGACATTTAGAATGCTTTAAAATTCTGCCTGTCGATTATTATTCCATCTGTTGACATTACACCTAGGTTAGAAGTAAAGAATTACACAGAAGACAGTATCAATGAAAAATACCCAGTATTTCCAACCATTTTTGTCTTACTGGAAGATTCAAAACCCTCAAGACTGCAACCAAATGTAAAGCCTGAACCACTGAGACTGGCAAAAATCTTTGTTTAAAGAAAATTCCTTAAGGTTTGAATTTATAAGATTCTCTCTTATCTCCTGCAAAACAGTTCAAAGAGTTGCACTATCTTCTGTATCATCCAATAAAATTTCAAAAGAACCTAAAGATGGAAAATCTCTTGGAAGACTGGTTTCACAGTCCAATATATTGAATTGTTAAGATTAACAATATGCATATTGAGTTCAGAAACTTTCCCTTGTGGTTTAACTTTTATCCTATTTTAACATATTCTGAAATCTGCTTACAAGGAGAAATGTCCAAAGCTATCTAGAAAAAGCAACTTATTGGAGGCAATTTTGTACTTGAAATGGAAAACACGTAATTGATAGTAAAATTTTTATGTACAAATCTATTACGATGACAGGAAGTAGTTTGGTAAAAACTCACTGTAATAAGAATAACAAGTGTTACACCACTGGCTGAATATTACAGCCAGATATTTGTCACCAAAATGGCCCCAGAATCACCAAGTGGTTTTTAATGCTCTATTATGTTATCCATGTTTCTGTAGTCAACATCAGATCTAACAAATCAGCATTGTTTTGAAGTGACATGATAAAACAAAAAGTGTTTGTGATAAAACTAATGAAATACAATCTGCTAAACCACATATTTAATAGAATTAATAATAATCAATTCTAAGAGATATTGACATGAGTTATCTCTCTTGGAGAGAGCATGTAATTGTATAAAAGTACTCAGAAAATATTTTCTGATTTACTTGCTTTACAACCTGTACTGCTATTATTAGCAATGGATGCACAGACAGACAACTGCTGTTAAAAATCAAGCCATACAGCTGGACATCTTAGGATGGCAATGTATATGTGCCAAAATCCACATAACCTCCTTTATTTTATCTTTATACATTTTATGCCATACACATTTGGAGCAGAAGACAAAAATTAAAACATGCAAATTTATGATGGGCCCATTTTTTTAAAAAAATCATTTATTTTGAAAAGCTAGAAGAAATCCCCAAATTCACAGGTGTCTTTGTATTCTTATTCTTAAAATATGCCACACGCAAATACATTCACAGTATTTTGTGTAAATTAGCTTGAATTGTGGCAGCTTAAAAAAAACACATTGCACTAGATCAAAGAAAGTAATTATTTTGATTTTCACTTAAAATAACAAAAGCTTTTAAATTTTTCTATGAAAAACAAAACCCACTTTTAATCATATGTATATTAACTTCACCAAAATTAATACAAACCTTGGTATGTTTTTCAAAAAGCTCTTCCTGATACAGTGAATTTAACCATGATAATTTACTGCATTAATTCTCATTATATCTGCTTACGTAAGTGTAAGTAATATAGGTGAAATCACATAAATCCACAAAAGAGGCTCCAAAATAATAAATAGCTATTACAATATCAATCATCATTGGTGGTTTTTACTTTCATCTTGCTTTCTAGTTAGCTGTCTTCCTTACACTGTCAGTTCAGTTAGAATATTTCACCTACACCTCACAATATGTCAAAAGGAAGTAGACTCATGCTGTGAAAAGCTGGTAATTTTATTGGGTTCCTCTACCTTTAAAAAATCTGTTACTTGGCCAAGTCTGGTTTCTGAGATCCTTTTTTGCAGGGAAATTGAGGCAAACATTTTTATGTTGTCTATGGTGTCTGCTCACAAGAAGAAGAATTTATACACACAAGGATCATTAGTGCAGGGTTGCACCCATTAGGATATAATAACCGTCAGCTAGGACAAAAAACAGATCAGCATCATGCATTCAAACTAACAGGCACACATAAAAATACTTGCCAGCTACATTTCACATACTAAGAGCATTGTTTCAAATATAAACTTATACCAAAGGTTTTTAACATGCTAACTTCTAAAAAATGAATCTAACAGATTCCCTGCTGCACAGATTTTTCACATATTCTGATCAATTTAAAAATGTAAAGCAAAAAAAAGCTGAGAATTTAAAGCATACTGTGTGCAGTGCACATACAACTTTAGAACTTAGAGTTTATTGTGAAAAATATACTTACCTCCTCTAAATAAGCTTAAATACCAACAGTCTTAAGGCAGAATCTGATCTACAGCCTCACTCCTACTAAACACATTTTGGCTAAACCAGGAAGCAAGTCCTGCTGAAGAGCTTACATGTACTCCCCAATATCAAACATTTTAATGTGACAATTAGACTATGAAATATGAAGAAATCACCTTAACTGCTCCCAAATAATAAAACAGAAGTACATTATTTAAATAGAAGGTGCTTGCCAAAGCTCCATTTAATTGACTTGGAAGTACTTAGTTGCTTTAGGTACTGCATTCTGTTGAGTAAGGCTTGATTTCATGGGAATATGCAGCCCATCATTGGGAAACTTAAATAAAATTGTGACTGACCTAGTCAATTAGACAATGACTGTTAAATACTTGGCAAATCTCCCTGTAATATCCAAATCCCTCTGGTTTACTTCTGACAAATTGGTATGTTATCAACTTATTTAAAGGTTTTCTCCAGTTTTAATTGCCATGCAACCCCAAAAAAATATACGTAATAAAGAAGCACCATGGGCACAACGGAGGCTTAGAAGACTAAGAAAGCTTGAATCCTGCAAGAAGTCTTGAACAAAAGATTCTGGCACTAATGTTAACCTACCCACATGCAATGGGTATCCAAAACAGATTAACAAAAATATATGTTGTGAATTTTCCCAAAAAAAGAGAAAAACATTTAATTTTAAATAAAATAGTTTTCCAACTTCTGAGATGGGTATGCAGCTATCTTTATACTTCATGCATAGTATACAGAATATATAGAATACATACATACAATATTTTGGGTAGGTGGGAAAGTCACAAAACTTTGGAATAACAGTTTAGATGTGCCATAACGCATAACTTGAACCAAGACAATGCAAACCTATTTGTAAACCTTCTGTGTGCTCCTATTAGAGCAATCCCAGGATGACTAGAAATATAATACTGAATCAGAATGGTTATTAGACTGATCATTAGTCTGGTTGGGTTAATCTACAGTTCACATTCTTGCAATTTTTACTCCCATATGCTGAAATGAAGGGGAAATCACAAAGTTGAAGGCAAAGAGTCAGATGCTTCACTTTTAGCATTAGAAATAATCTCTATGCTAAGGATAAATGTTAAGTTCTCCCCTTTTCATACAGGCTATATTCAGTCAGCATTGTAGTGCTACAGCACAGCTACCGTGGTTTTGGTAAATGCAGCAGCGAAGTCTGCAGCTCTTCTGGGGGGAACATACTGCACATTACTACCACAAAGGGTACAAAAAACTATTAACTGTGTGTCTGATGTGATCCACCACATCTCAAAGACTTAATATCATGGAAAATACACCAGCATATATACCAGCAGATCATCTAGGTAATGCGCTCTGACAGCAACCAGCAATATTTGACAGTGAAATATTTCCCCAATGTAAAGAAGAAGAACTTCTGGTGCTCTACAATTTTAGTGGCAAAATGCAGGTACTATGAATGTAGGGAGGGATTTGGGATAATCACTCTTTTGAACCTAAGATATCTACATTTTTTCTACATCCTATTTTCTGTAACTAAAAGTTTTTCATCTGGGTTGCCACACAATTTTGCCAGGTAACTCTTGAACAAGGATCTCAGCAGCCCAGTAAAGCCCAGGAAAGCCAGTACAGATGACATACACTGCCGAAAGGAGTATTATTATGTGTTTTCCAGTGCACTGCTATTGCCAGCTACTATTTTGGAATTGTCTCAGTGAGAGGAATATTTCCCTGTTAAAAGCTGGGACAAAGACCCACACAGTATTTTCACATACAGCTAAAATCCCCATTACAAACAAAACTGAAACCTCGTTGTAGAGCAAGTTGTAGTATTTCAACAGTAAAACCACATAAATAGTGTTGATCCACAAGTTTGTCTCAAGTTGTAGTATTTCAGCTGAACAACAATAGGAGAAGACAGAAATGGACTGATATGAAATGGAGATTACTTCTTTAAGTGGGGATGCTTACAGCATACCTAAGAAGTGATGTCTGCTATTCCTCATCTTCTTTTATAAAGGTTTTTAAAAAATGTAGAGAAGCAGCCTTAAAAATAATCTCAAACCTATGCACAACTTGATTACTTCTATTTGTCTTTTCAATATACAGATCCTATATAGCATACTGAATGCTATATAGGATCTGTATATTGAAAAGACAATATAGTCAGACAGATTTTCTGCTTGCTTCTTCTGCTCAGGAAATGAGTAATATTAATAGTGGTCTAACAAAAAACTTTATTGCCCTCACCAGCACCAGATTCACCAGTGCTCAGAACATTGAAATATCTGGATTTGTTCTCTCCCACTGTACAAAAAAGTTGAGTCTTAGGACAGGTGCAGCATGACAATGTTAACTTTCCCTGTGCATCATTTAACACCAACAGTACCCAAAATAATTAATTAGTTTTACGCTGTCTTGTCCTTAGACCGTACTCAGAAGCAGTATGGATATAAATTTATCTGCAGGGGATGGACTTCATTCTCTTAAACAAATATGTGTGGGAGATCCCCCTCCTGAAGTGTGGTGGCTGGCGCATTATCAAATGCAAACTCAAACATCTGGATGCCAGATATGATCACTTGCTTGTTTTGCTCTGCTGAGTTATCTACAGAATATGCTGTGAAGCTATGTACTTTGACTTGAGAGGGTAATCCTGTGGATGCAGAAATCTCACACTATTTTAAAGGAAGATGCAATTTTTCTTGTGGTTACTCTTTTGTCTTCTCTACAATTTTGCATGCATCTGTATGCACAGGGCAGTCCATCTGAGAATTTCTCTACCTGAATTCTATAACTGCTACCTAAGGTAGACTAAGCAGTACATCACACGTAGACCATACATTCATTTGTACATGACTTTACAACAAACACGGCCATAAAAGTTTGAAGTAAAAATTAGATTTTTTTTCATTTCTGACTTTCTTTTGCTTCAGACTTCTACATTCTCTGTTGTAAGTGGTTGAAGGCTATAAACTTTTCCCTGTTTTTCACGTACTGAATTATGCCATGGAAACTGGCATGAAAAAAGGGATGAGTGCTTAATCTGCAAGCTTTTAGAGGTAGCTCTTTGCAACTCCTCTTTAAAAAAAAAAAAGTTGACATTCATGACCCAATGATCACATGCTTTTTTTGGTTAGGTGTTGTCATGCACCATTTAGCCTACTATGAATTTTTTTCCATCCAGTGCATTGACTACAGCAGTCTTTAAATAGTTTGTCTGCTGGGAGGCAGGACTGCCCACAGATTTAAATTACACAAAATACTATGAAATAAACAGACATTAAAAGAGAAACAAGCATAATTCTAAAGTTGTTTTCAGAGTAATGTACATTTCTACAGGTCCTCTCTGCAGAACAATGTTTTTCCTGAGTTTTGTGAACCGGTTTTTCATCCTAGATAGTCTCTGAACATAGATTTTGCTTAGAATCAGTCAGACTGCCTTGTTAGTATATTTTTTAAAAAGTTCCACTAATGGTATTCCCAAATCCTGATGGTAGCTCCTAGCTGTTTCCATAAGCAAGAGGCAGCATATCCTATTGCTGTCTTGAGCAACACATCTGGTGACAGGCCAGTCATTTGCTACCTCAGACAAGAAAGGGCGATGAGTTCTAAACTTTTCTTCAGTGACAGCATTTGTTTTGGTGTCTTTCTTCTACCAACACTCTAGTTTTCATTAAACTTCTAGAACTACATTAGCTGCATCTACAACTGCAAGTAGTGTAGTCTTAAAATGGATGTGTAGACAGCAACAGTTCACACTATACATGTTTCAGGGAGCTCTAACTATCTCTGATCTTATCCTGGGGAATTTAGAGACTGCTATACATGGAGACTGATGGCATGCCCCTAAAGCAAATCTTCTCATTTAATTTGATTCTGAAGCATGTTTGTGCACTCTGAGACTGCTCTGCAATGCAAACACAGCCAGGGGGACAACTGATACATGTGATTCAAAAGTGCACGGCTGCCTCAAGTTAAAAATGCTATTGGATATATACCTGGATATTTGGGTCATTATGGTTTCTCAGAATTGGTATAAATTGGCCAGAATATTTCAAAAGCTACACAAGTACAGCGAACAACTGAGAGAGATAGAGATGCTCTATTTTAGTAGAATATCATGGCATGGAAAATAAAAAGAAAACCAATCTCTGAAGATTCTTAAGAATATTACCCAGTTTTTGTAATAAAGCTTCTATCCTATCCCTGTGCCGCTGACACTTCTGCCAGCAAATTATTTAGACCTTTAGTAATAGTGGGTTTTTTCCATCTCATTCTGATACCTTTCACACAATACTGGCAGACACAAAGTTATGCCTTCTTTTCCTTATTCCTCTGCATCCCAAGAGACATCTGTAAGCCCTTGCGCTTTTAAAGTGCTAGATGCTCAAAGGCTCTTTTGAAATTAATAATAATCAATGCCAGCAGCATCTCAACACCCTACCCAGTATTTGCATGTGATGGAGGGAAAACAATAGCAAAAAAGGAGACATCAACTTGAGTTGTTCCAGCAGTTGTTTTAAATGGTGAATATTTTCCTTTTCTTAATGTGAAAAAGAAATAAACAATATCCTTAAACAATATCTTTTTAAATCCAGAACATAAGCAGACTCTCAATTACCCCAGTGTTCTGAAAAATCTGTATTTCTCTACAGTTGCATTGGCAAACTCAAGTAATTTCTACCAGTAATGGAATTTACAACTGACTAGCCCTATGCTTTGAAAAATGTCATCCAGTAATTCTCTTTCTGATTCTTACATGGTAACATCAGTTTGGGATGTACTTCTTATACTGTTAATGAAGCAAAATGTAAATATTAAAAAATGCTGACTGCATGCTTGAAGCCTGAAAGATTTATGCATAAGCCCTCCATTTCATTCCTGTTGGTGGACGACTTGCTTTAGAAAAAGCAGGGAACTGCAGGGGAGGAATATGGAAACACTGTACTGAAAGTGGTATGCTAACTCTAAAGGTACAGAAAGAGTTGTACCTAAATTTGATTCTAGTTTTTAGGTGAAACGTTTACATAAACTGGAATATATTGGAAGAATGATTCTTCTGCTAGTTTAGGAGACTATTCAATACACATACTGAGGGCTATGATAAAATATCTGAGGGCTATGATAAAGTATCCATGCATAATACATTAAGTGTGAGAAAAAGACTTACCTTGTTGAATATCCTTCATCTCCAAGTGCAAACTCGATATTAAAATTCCTACAGTTTGAGATCGCTTTCCATCCAGCAATTTGATAATCTAGAAAGGTGATGCAAAATGATCTGAGATCAAGGGAACACTCTACAAAGGATTCAGCCACTTTTATAACAGAAGCTAATTTGCGAATTGACAATGAATTTTAAGAAATTAATTTTAAGACTGAATTCTCTCCAGTTCTACCAAAGAACATCACCTCTTACTTGTAGGATGCTGTTACATAGGAAAAGAAAAAGGCACATCAAATACTTATTCTGGAATATGCTTTCCCCCCCTCCTTTTTCTTTAAATGACAAATATGAACTATTAAAGACACTGAGTACACCACAAGTTCCTGAGTTTGTCTGGTAGTTTACATTTCAGTGTGAACAGGCTATTTTTTCAGCAAAGAATCAATTCCTGACCAAGAAGAATTGAAGAATTGTCTTTTTATGTCCTCTCAGCACTACTTCTGGAACACTGGGCACTGCTCAAAGTATTTCTTTTGCTCATGTCTGAATGTGCTTATTCCACACTGTTGACACTCCACAGAGATTTCAGGATTTTTTTCACATTTGGGTACAGATATTTGTCAGTATAATATACTGACATTCAGACTGTAATACTTTCTGATGAGAGTTATGGGGGAGAGGAAGAAAGGAGGAAGAGAAACCTTTATGTTATTTTGGCTGGTTGAATTTACTTATAAAGAAAGGGATCAGTGTTGCTCAGATGTTACAAATGTAAAAACTTATTTCTCACAATGTCTGGGGTATTGGTATTCGTGATTTTGATTTATTTCATAAGAAAGATATGACAGATGCACATCACAAAATTCAATACAGACACAAATTCTTCAAAAATACAAAATGTTCTGATCCAAGCAGATGGCTTACTTCATAGTGTTGATGTACAAGAACTATCAAAAATACTAACTCCTATGCAAAACTAAAACTAATAGCTATGTTTTTCCCAAAATTTATATTTTTCGTATATTTGAATATTTAATCTATATTTCTCCAAATTTGATTTTATTATTTAAATTAAAGGTGGCGCTTATATTTGGATATTTAATCATAGTAAGAACTTAAAACAATTATTATTCTTGATTGCTAGAATGCTTTTATTGATACTCAAAGACAGTTAACTGACAAAATTTATATTAACTCATAAAAATGTTTCCTGTGTTTTATGTGATTTACAAATATTTACCTATGAAAATACTTATTTAGATAGTAAACCTTCTGATTTTTATGAATTCCTACAATTATTTGGAGTACTGAAACTGGGTAATACATGCACAAGTTGGAACAAATGCTCTCTTCAACAAAGATCTGACAGACATTTTAGGTCCCTCTTGTACGTAATCAATAATAAACTTATGTTAAAGTAGATACTGCATATTTTCTGCCAAAATTTGAAAAAATCTATCCTGGGATTTTTTTCTGCTTATATGTACAGCACATATGATGGATATTAAGAAATTAATACTGTGGAAAGTGTTTTGTTCAAAAGACAAAATATTCAGGCTCTTTATCTCATGAGTACACAAGCAGACAAGATGATTTTGCTCCAAGTTACCTTAATTGAACGCTGTGGAAGCATCACATCCTGCTGACTGATTCTTCGGAGCAAATGTAAGTAACTGCCTGGTTTACCATGGTCATCTCTGAAGCTTTACATGAATTTGCTGAACTCCACAGCACATTAACTTCTTACAGGGATAATTACAGGTTTGAGCAGTATGCAATTTGTACAGCATTCAGTGACCTCCAAGCTGACCTTGTTCAGGGCAAATTCATAGGTTGTCATAAACCCCATTAGACATGCCTAGTTTGAGGCAAAACCTTTCCAGACTACAGCTGTTGTAGACAATATGACATTTGAAATCATTCCACTGAAGTATTTGTAAGTGCTACTATATCCTCAAGATACGATCAAACTAGCTCACATCACTAAGCAAGACCTCCCCCCTAAACAATTTGTGAGAAAATCCTTAAAGAAAGCCCTATATAATTTTAAAAGTTAAAACAGAGATTTATGATTTGAAACAGCAACTGACTGTATATTCACTTGCATTTTAGACAAATGTACACATGGTCACAATTACCAGGCATCAAGCTAGATGCAGACTACCTAAAATAGGTAGGTGATAAGCTTCAACCAAGAACTGAAAGCTAATAATTAATTCATTAGAGAGCAAAAATGGAGGACCATGACGACAGAATAGCTTACATTAAGCATAAACCTACTTCAAACCCATAGTTATAATGCTAAGTATTGTACCGAAATTTTGTCATAGATTTTTAGTATCAATGTGGAACTTGAAAGATTTTGCAGTTAAAATATATAATCAGTAGTAAAACAGAGAATTAATTTTCAAAGACACTAACTTTGTCCCAAATGATGGTTATTCTGTCACTAAGGGGGAATTACATATGTGTGTGAATTCCAAATAGAAAGGAGACACAAAAAATTCAGCACTTTTTCAGTTCAGTAAAAACATAAGGCAAATAAAAGGAAAGTTTGTAAAGACTGTGTTGAACTATTTAGTCTATGCTTTTAAAAGACAAATCACTGATCACCTCTCAGCATATTGGGACGTGCTTGTAGCTGGCAGTGACAGGTAAGCAGCTACAAGCCAGCTGATGCTGCTGTGCCAGCTGGTGGGGTTTGCCAGCTGCCTGTTGCTTCTCCAGACTACGAATGCATTGTTGTAATGGATGTAGCATCTTCTGGCTTAGTGACAAAATTCTGACTGCTGGTGATAATTCCTTTATTTCACTGATCCATAGCATTACTTGATTTTTGCTGGTTTTCCCCTATTTTTTAATGTTAAGTTAGCTGATTTGCTGTACACAAGTGTCGCATCTACATCTTTCAAATCCTTATAATCTAATTAAAAAGTGAAAATATACCAAAGCTTGAATACACTAATAAATTATTCTGTCATTCCCATTAGAAGGTGCTCCTGTAATGTAGCCAGAAATTTATTTCATTAAATACTGTACAGCAGACTTTACTGTTCTGTCAAACTGCAATGCCTACATTCTGATTAGGACACTTACTGGTGCTGAAATCTGAAGAGATTCAGTTTACTTTAGTGATTAAAAGTTAAATCCTTCCTCCTGGTGGTGCATGGATTCCTTCCATGATATTTAAATTTATTGAGAAAAGCCATAAGCTAAAAAGCTGTCCTGCATATTACAGCATTTCCCTCCATTCCCACTCACCAACTTTTACAGCAAATCAGCAGCCTAGACCCATGCTTGGATTGCTGAAACCCTGTGCAAACATAGGAAGAATATTCTGCACAAGAAGCCAAAGTATGTCCCTCAAACCATTCTGCATAAACAATCCAAGAGTTACCAATGAAATTTCAGAAGTCTAAGACTAGACATTATCTCTCATATTCCTACTCAAGGGAGAGCCAAATTTAACTATGCTTTCCTTAATGTGGGTGAACCATAGCTCTATATTTTTTGAAGTCTATTTACAATTTTATTAGCTTGAAAACACCACTACTTTTAGCCTTTTTCTAAAGTACACACAAATGGCAATATATCAGGTTCAAACAGGAGGTGTGAATGAGCTAGTAAGAAGCATTTCTCAATGCCTTTACTCCTATCAGAACTGCAAAAATTAGACAAACCACAAAATAGATGTTCACCCTGTGGATAATTTCTATATTCGACATGACTTCAGGGCTTTGTGATAAACAAGGAATGCCATTATTTTTCTCAGAACAGCATAAATATCAAAAGAAAGTGAGAGTGGCTCGGACGAGCATTTTAGTACTTCTGCTTAAGTTTGAACACTGTTTATTATCTTATGCAGACAGCTGAAGACAGTCATTGTGTTTCACCCCTGCAAAGCTTCCAACATTTTCTGCAATATCTGCCCTTCTTGCGGAAACACAAAATTTATTAATTGTAATTCCTCATTTAGTTAGATGGACAAAAAACTTGCTGACAGGCATATCCCTTTCAGTTAAAAAAATGCAATTCACTCAAAATATTGACACTCTTTGTAAATGAGAACACATGTTAATAATTATGTGAAGTCTGTTAGAGATAATAGACAACAGAAAAGCCATTATCTTTAATGTCCTCCTGCGTCTTTGAAATTATAATCATTGCACTAAAGGGCCAAAAATGATTGATGGACTTTCATTTGGAGCATACACCTGACACAAATTACTTGACATTTGCTCTTCTTTTTTTTTGTAAGATGAAGACAGAGTGGCATCACAAATATCCAACTATTCTGTTTCTTGAAAAAGTATAGAAAATACTTGAGTTTTTGAGGATAAATTACTAACAAGTGCTCAAATATATTGGAAAAACTAACACAATGTCAAAATATGTGCTAAATCTAGCAATAGAGCTACAAAATACACATGGAGAAAAATCGCAGCAAATACATCTTTTTTAATTATCTCTTTTTCAAGATTTCAGAATATTAGGTTAATATATAATGAATATGTCTTTGATTTATTTGGTTCATATTCAGGAGCTAAGGGACTTTTGTTTTCCTCCAATAATTTGAACTTTTCCTGCTGCAGATTCAACCACTTCAGAAATACAAAATAACTATGAAATAAATCCCACTCCTTCTGTATATTATTTATCCACCTAGAGTCTCTGGGAACGTCAGCAATCATCTCTTCTCCATTTCATGGACATCAACTCCAAACATTTACTGCATTACATTAGTTCATATAAGATTATAATGCATCTAGTCTTAATTAAAAAACATTTTTATGGGAGAATAATTAAATTTTTAATGTTTATATATCTTGCACAGTATTTTGTTCTAATACTGGGACATAACTAATATATTCATCTAGCCAGTAAATTCTCCCAGCCAGAAAAAACCAAATTCTATTGTCAAGACATAATATCAAAGCCTCAGAATACTAATTTTTATCATTATCTACATAATACATAGAACATTAAATGAAAGATTGCATACATGCAGAGAAAAGAAATGCAAGAATAAGAGTTTCCTGCATTATTTCAGAGGGTGTACAATTGGAAAAAAACCTTAAAGTTCTTCCAAAGGTGCTACATTTTCCAAAGGGCTTCAAGAGCAAAGAAGCATGAGCAGCCACACAGTTTGCAGAGCTTCTAAGCCCAGATAAACATTACAATAAAAAAATTCCAGTCTTATGTATATATATTTGTGTACTAGAAAGGTACACCTGACCTTTGCTTAGCCTATATGGGATTTACATTGTATCACCATCAAGTGAATGAACTATATTTTTCCAAAATAAATTATTATATTTCTAAAAATAAGTAAAATCACCTTTTATGCAGTCCCTTAAGTTGTATTACCATTGCTGCAAAGATTCCTAATTTCCATTCCTTTCTTCCCCCACACACTTATCAGAAGCCTCTAGAAATCAGTGTAACCCAAAAAGCCATTTCTATCTAGCATGAATGCAACAAATTTGGGAATCATGAAAGTATTTTTGAAAAAAGTATAGCCAGCTGTTTCAACCCATATGACAATGGGCAGAAGGTGAACTTTATGTCTTTTAATTGATTAACAGAATCAAGATGTTGAAAAGGCACTCGAAACGTCATTCTGCACAACAAGACAACATTTCTGCACTTCAAGATAGTTATCAATTATATGTGTACCACTCTAAACAAAGTTTCCTAAAGATCTGCAAATACAGAAACACAATTTTCCTAGCCAAAATTTTTCTGCATTCCTTCGGTATCCTTGCTCTTAGAAAGCTTTTCATAATTTTTCTTTGCAGCAGCTGCATGCACTTGATTACACTTATACTGTGTGTCCCAATCAACCTTCTCCTTTCTAGACTAAACAATCATAATAATTTGATTCTTTCCTCAGAGACTACTTCACTTTTCATTATTCTCCCTCTTCTTGACTCTTTACAGTTAGCAAATTCTTAATGAAGGGCTGTAGTGCCTAAATGTAGATACAGATCTTAACTGAGACATGGCTGAGTAGCATCTTGCAAGCAATACTTCTTGATCTATCAGAGTTCTGCTTTTCATTTCTAGTATTACCATGATTTGACAATTCATATTCCTCTTGTGAGCCACTATAATGCCAAGACTCTTTCTGCTGAACTATTACCAGTCAGTTAGTCAGCTGTACCCCATCTTATTTTTTAGGTAGCTGAATATTCTTAATCGTATTAACCTTGTGGTTAATTGCATTAGCTTTGTGCTTATCTTTGTCTGTCAGATGAGATCTCAGACATATGAAAGCCTTGTGAAGGATCTATTTCAGTACATTTGAAGCCTCTCACAAACAGGTGGCGGCTGCAGAGCTAGCATTCTGCTATCCAAGAAATAAGGGAAAATACAAAGTAACTACAACCAGCAGAGAAGTCCACAGAGTCCCCAGTGTATTCTTCTGTTTTGACAGTGAGTATATATATGCATGAATGGAAATATTATTGATGATATATTTTTGAAATATTATTGATATATTATAAATATTCATTTTGTGAAACATTTTATTATATTGTAATTATATAATATATATGACTATAAATATATATTTATAATATGAATATATACTCAGAAGTTTCCTTTCTGAGCATAACTTGCCAAATGGTACTGGAAAATAGACCAGCCATTCAATTTATCTTAATCACAGAATCAATCAGGTTGAAAAAGATTTCTGACATTTCTGACATTTCCAACCTATGACTGAACACCACCACGTCAACCAGACCACAGCACTGAGTGCCACAGTCAGTGTTTCCTTAAACATCTCCAGGGATGGTGACTGCCACCTCCCTGAAGAGTCCATTCCTAAGGCTAATCACCCTTTCTGTGAAGAAATTCCTCCATGTCCAACCTAAATCTCCCTGGTGCAGCTTATGTAGGACATTTAGACATTTCTGGCTGAAAATGGCAGGTGTCTATCAGCTGTAAGTAAAAGAAAGCAGAGCATACAGTGAATTTTTTAATCTGTGTTGCCATACAGTGTCTACTACTTGGAAAATGGGTAAGAACAGAACTGAAATTTCTATAGGCTTTCCACAGAAGCATTCATTTCACAGCCTAAGCACACAGATTATTCCAACTGGTTTCACAAAACTAATAATTCTGAGAATAAACTGAGTAATATTGGTTTTTTTGGAATTGCAAAAGAGTTAAATGAGAAACAATTACCCTCTAATTCAAAAGATAAAATCTTAATTCCAATTGAAAAAGGAACTTGACTGTGAGGCACTGATGTAACTCTCATTCAAGGAGCAAAGTATTGAACAATCATGTTTTAATAAGCAGACCTGCACCATCTATTGGTCTGTCATTTCCCTCAAAACCAAAGAAGCTGAACTTAGTTTGTGTAAGATGCTATGAAATAAGGCATAGCTTGTGCAGAGAAGAGGGTTAGTGCAGGGAGTGGGTCAGTCTTACCGTGTATCAGTAAATAAAACAGCTTAACTATTTCAAACACAAACTCCAGCTTCATCGCTGTACCTATAACTTGCTCTGGAGGCTTTTTTAGTGAACATGAAAAAGGAATTTATAAGTAAGTACATAACGACACGGCGTCAACTAAATCTATATGGTGAGCCTCATATAAGATTTGTGTTTCTTGATGTCTGTAGAAAGCATCTTTAACCAGACTATACAATTTCCTATAATGTGACACGAGTACCATTTTTAAGATCAGACAAGCAGAAATTTACTGAAGCAAAGAAAAAATTCCTGCTAAAACCCTAGTAGATATAATCGTTAGGAAAAAGGCAAGAAACTTTGAGAGACAAAAGGAGCATAAGAAATCAGAAATGAAACCAGTCAAACTGACAATTTTATATTGATCTACAGGAGTTCTCTGTTATTATCTACTAATAAATCCTCCTGTAAGTAAACAAAATGCCTCTCTACTACTGTAACATTTGCAGCCCACCAAGACTGACCCACTGGACATATCTGGGATTTCAGAGAGACAAAAAAAAACACAGGACCATCTAAGAGGGCCAACTGTCTGTAAAAACATTCAGCTGCTACTATGAGTCATTTAACTGAGAAAGGCGAAAAGACAGGATACAACATAAGAAAATGCTTCTGTACTCAATGAACATTTTCTTTGAATTCTAAAAGTGGATTTATTTTTAATTTTTGATTTGACCCAATGATGGAATTTCACACTACTGACCATGACTTTGGTAAATTTTCACAGAAAATCCTACAGTTCCCATGGTTCGTAACACCATCACATTCCCATCGGTTTTCAAAATTAAAGACATAGTAATATATATAATTTTGAATTTATTTTTAAGGGGATTTACTTTTGCATTTTCCACAGTACTTTAAAGGAACCTTTTTCCATTTCTTTAATTTCAGTAAAATATCCATTGTCTCTAATATCTTATTGCCTCTAATAACAAAGCAGAATAATTAAAACATTGATAGAAATAAAAAGGATGTCTTGGTATGAGAATACACTGGTTGCTCACGAGAAATAATGCATATTATTATAACAATATGTTCTGTAAGTACTACCCAATTCAATTTTGGATAAGCCAAGAGAGATCACTAAAAAATCACGCTGCTCAAACAAGTAAGTTAGTTTGCAAAGCAGCAAGGAAAAAGAAAAGCATAATTTCATCTTTCCGTATACAGGCCTAATTCTGTACCTGGGTTGCTGTCACCCCCTTGGAGAAGTAGATATACTCCCTTAATTACTGAGATTTTGAAATTCAAAGGCAACTACTTATGCATATTAATTTCCCATTAAATTACAGTGATTAAATACTTCAAAGTTCTTTAGAAACCTGTATTTCCTATTACATAATTCTTTCTGAAAAAAGGTAAATTAATGAAATGTAAAAATAAATATTAGAAAGAAGGCATAAGATATGTGAACTAATTGAATTTATGGATACAACTGCTGCTACATATCACATTCATTTCAAGCATTTGCCAAGTAAAATACATAAAAATATTTTTCATGGAGATGTTCATGCCCAACATCAGTCTAATATTTGAAGGACTGTAACTATTATTTCTTTGATGGGCATTTACAAATGCCAGCATGTCCCCATCCAGGCCCCATTTTAAATTATTTACCTTTTGCATCGCATGAATTTGAGTTCTATAAATTCTACAGCCTTACTGATACTTCTCATTAGCTGTTGCATTAAGACACAATACAGGGAATTTATGATGAAAGATGTTCTGAAAGATCTGAAAGCCCCAACATGTATACATGTTTCATGCTCTATGTATTATAAAATTGAAGGTAGGAAGCACAGCTCACATGCAAAGTGCCCTCTTGTGGTTCCAAGCAGGTCAACTCAAAGAGATTTAAAACACAATAAATGTTTCAGTAGTTTGTGACATGTAATCACACTGTTTTAGGAAAACAGTATTGATTACTATTCAGTAAAGAATTTTTCTGGCAATAAATACTACTAATGGTATTTGTTTTTCCCATCTGCACGTCCCAATTGGCAAGTGCCAGCTGCCTCTGTAATGGATCATGTCTAAATGCTATGGCAATGAAACAGCTACTGCACGTAGCTTTGGCCATCAAAGACATGATTGTCCTGCCCCTTCCTGACACAACTCCTTAGCTATATTGGAAAAAATTTGGCATTCCTTATTTAAAATTTTGCTTTAAATTTCATTTTGCTAACAAAATTAATCTCAGTGGAAGAGAGGTTTGCTGGAGTAACTAAAGACAGGCACTAATTACACATCAGCTCAAGGGCAAATAATGGCCAGAATACTGTCAGTTTCAGATACTAATTAGAACTTTAATTCCATTCTCCTGTACAGTATTTTTTCTACCTCATTAGGATGGGGAACTTTCATTAGCAAAGGTAAAAGATTTTCCAAGGTAAATAATAGCCCTGCATTCTCAAGCAAAAGATTTGAGATTGAATCAGCAATCCATAGTTTTCTTTCTTGCTCATTCACAAAAAATCCAAAAATTAAAAAGGAGTTTTCTCAAAATGAAAGACTAAACAGTACCACACACACAAAAAAAAAAAAAAAAAAGACAAAGAAACAATAAATACCTTTTTGGCCTTGGTTTTTTTTTCGTAAGTCTCTGATAATGGTTTTCTTTTTTCCTGAGTGGTGTCTTTGGAGAATAAATATTCAAACTCAGTAGTGTCAAGTATATCAGGCTCTTCCAGTGATTCCCATAATGTTGGCATAGCAGTTTTCCTATAAAGGGAAAGGTAGTAATAAAATTTCAAAACCTTATGAGAAACTATAATAGATCTAACCATAATAGATGAAAATCCATGACAGATTTAAACTCAAAGCAACACACAGAGCATTCCTTTCCTATACCTTGCTCTTGTAAGGAGTTAAAAGTTTTCCTATGAGTTTTAGTTATTAGTTTGAGCTACTTAGTCCATGCCTGCTAGACTATGCATCATTCGCATTGCACCGTTCTTGGTGCAACAACGGCAGCTTGTGCAAATACACGTCAAGAGATTTCTGCCACTGCAACTAGGATCAGAAGTACTCCAATGTCAGCTTTTTTGAGAAATTCCCAGTAATCTATCTAGACCTATAAAAATAAACAATATCAACAAATAGTGAACAAACTTTATTCAAGCATATTTTAAGTGTGTTTGGGAAATTTGTATAGGACCTGATTTACTTCATGTTAATCCACAGATATTGTATGCTCATATTTATCCTTGTTGTAGTTCAGAGAAACTAGAGTAATTATGTGGCTTATATTTTGAGAGACTAGCCAGTATTCTTCTCCATTCAACCAACAGCAAATTTTCAAAGTGGATTATCTTTCTTTCTTTTTTTGCCTTCCAAGACCAGATTTAGTTTTGGATCAGCTGGGAGCTTGTTTACACAATCCTCCAGTTTTATCTGGAATAGGGGAAAATAATATGCAGTGCTACAAATATTGCACATCAATTCTGAAAGGGCCTTGTTTCAAAATTTTCAATTTCAGGAAAATATGTGGGACAAAACTTCTGAGCGTTCTTGTCTGTTTATCAGTAGAAGGTGGGACCGTATCTTCCAGCAGATGTCACTAAAAGGCAGTGAAATTATTTGCAATTAAAAAAAAAGTGAAGAAAACCACTACAAAATACAAATGGCTGATGTCACTAAACATAGATGTAATATGCAACAAAGCTGAATACCTACCAATTCAAAAGGAGCCAATTTTTTTTTCTCAAATTCAGGATTTTTTTCCTACTTAATGCTCAACTGTCTACTATCATGAATGTATAAGGAACTTTTCATTTTTTTTTTATTAACATCTGCTGACGCAGCATATTCTATGTCACAGGACATGCTTAGAGCTCCACAGCATCATGCTTCCTGATATTAGTTTTTGTCCCTGAACCAGGACAGTTGTGTTAGCAATACTGAAGAATGAAGGATTCTTTCTGGCTCTGCAAACAGAAGTCGTGGACAGCTTCTGATCTGAGCAGCAAATCCTTGAAGAAATGTCCAGTTCTAATACAGACCATGAAAATGCTGGACCATTACATCTGGTAACCAGCAGTTCATGAGAATGCTATGAATTATCCCTTACCTTGCAAAAACTTGGTGAACCAGCACTGTCTCAGAAAGAAAACTTTTATTTAATTGATTGAATGGGAAGAATTTCAATAAAGTTTATTTATGGACTAACTATTTATTCACTATGAAACAATTATGCCAAAGAAATACTGGGAAAGTAAAAACAAAATGTTCAAGATTCCTGCTCCAAAATATTTCAATTCTGAAAAGTTTCAATTATTTTTAATTCTGAAAAACTAAGACTATACAACTGACATTTCAGTAATTTCTTTGTTCTTGTCAGATATTTTATATAAAATATTGACATCTTACAATGTTTTATCACACCAGAATGGTACTTTCTCATCAAAATAAATTCAGAGCTGTAAAGTAAAATAAAACTCATATTTAAATTCACTTAATTGCTATGAAGATATTTACTTCAAACGTGTTTAAATATAATAGAGAAACCTGAAAATAAAATATTATAATACTAAATAATTTAAATAAATACATAATTTATAAAAATAATTGTTACAGAATAAACTATAATAATTTCTAAAAATTAACAGTATATTATATTAATAATACAATATAACAATAATAATATAATAATAAGTAACATACTGTGTGTATATACGGTATAGCACATATTATGATGCATTATGGCTATAGTAATATAATTTAGCTTATTAAAATCTTTAAATTTAGCATCTTGGTAACTGCTGCTAGGCTAACAATTTTGAACACAGATAATAATGGTTTGAACTTTAAGATCCCAATAATAACGTAATTTCATTACTTGCATTAATATGGGACCTGAATTAAGGAACAACTCTTCATTAAAATAAAATAGTCTGTGTCACTTAAGCATCCCCCAAAAATCCTTTTTGATCCATGCCTCCTAATGAGCTCTATATTACAGTAATAAACACAGGAAGTCAGTATCAGTCAAATCCAAAAGGAGCAGCTGGGTAACTGTGGCAGTAAGGTACTAATGCTGGCTCAGAAAGTGTGACTGGGAGAACTGCTTTTCTCCTGTCACCTAAATAAACAGGTAGTATAAAAAAAGACAGTAGGATAATTTCAAACAAACCTGGCCAAAAATTGTTTATTTATGCCTGTTCACCAAATGACCCCTTCCAAACTAATTGACAAAACAGAGTATTTTGTAGTAACTTTGGATTTCATGTATTCTACTGGAATACTGTTATAGAACCACAGAATTACCTGGGTTGAAAGAACCTTGAAGAGGATCTCATTCCAACCCCTTCCCATGGGCAGGGACAACCTCCACCAGACCAGCCTCTGCAGGGCCCCATCCAATCTGGGCTTGAACACTTTCAGGAAAGAGGAATCTGCAGCTCCTCTTGGAAACCTTTCAGTGCCTCACCACTCCCACAGTAAAGAATTTCTTCCTTATATTCTACCTAAATCTACCTCCTCTAATCACAGATTTTACCGATACTGGGAGTTGCCCCAACTCAGTACAACATCTTGCACTTGGACTTGTTAGCAGTCCCACTACTCAAGCATTTCAGGGTCCCTCTGGATGACATCCCTCACTCACACACATCTGGGATTCTATCCCTGAACTAAATCACAGGAAGGGGGATACTCTTTTTAAAATTTTATATCTATTTTTTTAAAAGCTGTAGAGGTCTCTATCAGTACTGAGACTTGTCCATAATGGACACTTCATGCTGCAGATTGCTGAGCTGCATATATTTACACATATGCTTTATTCTTCCTGCTCTGACAGAATTATGCACAGAGGTTAGGTTCCAGTTTAACTGTTTCCAGTTTCTAGAACTGGAATCACAGAGGAGGACACAATATAGTTCTCTGGAGAATGGATCACAAAGTGACTGGAAAACAAAAATGAAACTAAATTCTCACCTGACCAAACTTTAACATTTCAATTCTAATGCAAACACAGACTTAATTTTAAGAAAAAAAAAATCTTTCTAATCTCTTGGCTACCCTTTTACACTTTAGTGCTAAATCTGGGAAGCACTCTGTCACTATAGTTATCCATGCAGTGCTTGAATTATTAGGAGAAAAAGCCCAAATAAAACATGTTTTTGTTATGATGCAAAAAGTTTTCATTTATAATACATATAATATTAATTTAAATATGATATTTTAAAACAACTTATTATTTCAGACTTCTAGAACCGATTCAGGTTTTTTTCTAGAATTATGTAAATTCCATGTCTCTACACTGACCTGTAAGCAGCAGCTCAAGTCCAAGTAAGTATATTTTACCTGTTATCTTGCAATTGTATTCGTGTCCAGTACAAAGGCTTCATGGGACGGCCAGGTTCAATGGCAGGTTTTCGAGGACCTTGGTTTGAAGATAAAGTGCTATTAAAAAACAACCCAGGCCCAGGAGGTGGAGGGGGTGGAGGTAACCCAGATCCAGGCAGTGGAGGAGGAACAGGAGGTCCCAGCCCTGGAAGCGGTGGGGGTGGCGGTGGTGCTTGAAAATTCCTACAGCCTTCAGAAAGTGGAGGTGGCAGCGGTGGACCAGATCCAAACTGAGATGTCAGTGAAGCTGGACCCATTGGCAAAGGTGGTGGTGGAGGAACTACAGCAGACAGTGAAGAATCAGGAAGGGGAGGAGGTGGTGGTGGTGGTGGTGGAGGCAGCATTTGTTTTGGTTGACAAGACAAGACACTTTCTGATGACTGTACATTGTAATTGTCCTTATTTTCACTTTGGGCAGATATACTATGTGTCAAAGAAGAAATATTAAGCTTTTTGGGTACTATTTGGTTATTTTTCACAGCTCTGTTTTCTTCTTCACTAGGCTTTATAAAAGTTTCTCTGTCAGTCTGTATACATACATTTCGGTATGCCTTTGGTGGGTTATCATCTTCAGTAGAAACACCAATATCCTTTGCTTTTTCATTTCTTCTGTTTAATTTATTATCAAGTTCATTCTTCAGATGTGCAATGGTTTCCTCAAGCTGAGCAGTTGAGACAGCATGTTCTCCACGAATATGGAATACCCTGAGTTCAAACTGAGACTGCAGAGCAACAATAAAAAAACATCCTTAGTGCAAATATTTTTTGATGTGTTTATTTCGTAGTCTGTTAAAAATCTTCATATTTGAGCTATGTTCTTAATCAAAGTGGGAAATACTTCTCTTTCCCAGTTCTAAATGGTTTTATTGCAAGCTATCATATAACTGGACAATTACTAATCTTTAAAGAAATGTAAGCAGGGTGTCTTTCAACAAAACATATTTTGTAAGGAAAAATCCAGAACATCAATTTGGGCAAATTTTAAGTTGCACCTTATCTTTAAGCAGACTTACCAGTTTTTAACTGAATGCAATAATTAATGGTATATTATGAAAAAAAGGTAGCTTTTTCAAATGTTATTCTATTTAATGACAGGAGTTTATTGCTTATTTCATTTCATATATATGTCATATAAACATATATAGAGAGACAACATGTTAGGAAGTAAAAAATAGATTAAACACAATGGAGATAGAAATTAATTCAAGATAAAACATTAAATAAAACAATATCTTAATCTATTAAGTGTTATCATCAATAAAATTGACAGAGGTACACATAAATTCTTCAAGTTTATCTCTGCAATTAGATTAAAATTTCATTTCTTCTAGATATACTTTAATCTACAATTCAGGAAAATAAACATTAGAACCAAGAGCATAAAGACAATTTCACTGGATAAGTAAGTAAGTAAGGAAAAAACCTTCCCACTTTTCTTACTATATATCAGAAAGATACAAAACATTTGGCACAGAAATATCTCCTTTAAAATATCCAATACAATCCAATACTGCTATTTCAGGTTATCAGGTCCCTACAAGTTATTTTCTGTTATGCCATGATACAATCAGACGGCTGGCTGATATTACCATAATTCTTTGCAAGGCAATGACTCCTGAAAGAGAGTTTTTCATGGTTCTTCCAGGATTCCTCTACAAAAGGGAAGCCAACCTCATAACAGAAACAGCTAATAAACTGTGATTTTCCCAAATTCCTACAGGCACAGGAATTTACACTTAAAATTCACATGAAGTGCTTGTCAGAAGCGGCAACACAGGACTCCCTGTTTACCATTCCAACTTGAGTATTAGGGCAGAGCTACTAGTTTACAGCATTAAGTAATGTGCATCCAAGTCACATATCTGCAGCTCAACGTGGAAAATATAATGTAATAGTTGCGGGTTCATATTGTGAAATGAAGCTTGACTAGATATGCAAACAAGATACTCATACTTACAGGAGTATGATCAGCTTGGATTCTAATCAATTTTGTAGGATAAAATCCAAAGTAAACAATCTGAACACACTGGGTATAAAATGCTCCTTTACACAGGCAAGTGTAAAGGTGGGAAATCAAGTTTGAAGTCTTACAGAGAGAATCAAACAGATTTGCATTGGAAACAACCCAATTTTGGTTAGTTTTATAGATGACTCAGAACAAATATGTATAACAATACATTTACTTAGCATTCTTGCTTTTCCTACTATTACTCTATTGGCACTCATCATCATTATTAGTTCAATCCAACTATCACAAGATTTTCTGCCATTTGAATTGCTCCAAAGAGATTGCCTTTCTTTTTAAACTTGGCTTACTGATCCATAAATGAGGTAATGAAGTAAGTTTGCCTTAAGGAATTTAACTAGAGTTTTTTTTATCATAGTACTTTGCTCCTATTGGACATCAAAAACTCCCTCACAGAACAATTTACTTTGAACGTTAAAGATTTTCCCAGCAGTAAATCTGAAGCCACCTTAAAAACACACTGTAAAAGAAGCACAGTATCTAACAAAACTATTTATTACATTTAAATGGGCATAAATGCAACTGTGTTAGTATTATAAGCATCTCCAAATACAGATCTCCAGTTTTAATTTACAATATAAAATTGGTAGTTTAAAGTCAAAATTATATTTGAGGTGAAAGAATGAAAAGCAAGAAAAAGCATAAAACTTGCATGTTTTCAGAATCATTTTCTGTAACTAGAAAAAACCCTATAAACAAGAATTAAAGCTAAAAACACTAAGCATTAGTAATAACAAAAGATAAGTAATATCTCTATTTAGTAATAAGTAAGAAACCAATTTTATTTTAATTACTTTTCATCTCAAAGTAAGTCTTCTTCACCAAAGTAAGATTACCTTATATACCTATGATAATACTTTCAACAAGTGTCAAGAACATGAATATTCATATGTGCTATTTTATATATACATGCATAAATAATACATACATATTCTTAATAAAAGTCTGCTTCCTGGAAAATATTTCTTAAAATGAAATAAAATGCTCTGAAGTCATATGATAAATTGAATGGAGAGCAAACATCATCAAAATGTAATAGTTGGTCACAACTATCATAGGCAAGATGAAATGTAAAACTATTTCAGCAGGAAGCAAGGTATTTGATGGAGGGAAGTTATGGGAGGAAGGCTGGAGGAGCAGAAGATAATAGAAAGCAGCTGAAACTAAAGCTTATATTCACGAATGAACATTATTTTTGAAGAAGGGTAGAGGGTTTTGAATCCTATCAAAGAAAATTTCTGTAAAATTGCTTTATAAAATGAAAGCAAGACTACAAAGAACAATGTGGGAGATGTTCATCAGTGAGCTTTAGATATATTTCTTTTCATTTGAGAACTGCATTTGCCACTTTGCTGACTGGTATAAAAGCCTGGTTGCTTGCTTCCCAGCAGCACTCATTTGAGAAATCTGGATTGTATAGCTACATTCAATACCAAATAAACTATTCCAAGGAACATATTTCTATTCCCCTGACCATTTCATTTTCTTGCAGCAATAATCTGCTTTTTCAGAGAGTATCAAATTAAGCCCTCAAGCCCTGGTCTACTGAGGTTCTCTGGCTTTCCATTGTATCAGTGACTCTTGCCAGTCAGCCACTGACATATTACTCTCTCTCCTGTACACACACAGAGAATTGATACAGCTGCCTAAATTTCCATGGAAGTAGATATATATTTTTTCCATGTTACTTCTACAAATCCCATATTTGAAGCATGAATGTTTCAATAAAGCCTTATTACTATTTTTTTTTCATACTGCTAGCTTAAAAGAAAAAGCTCTAATGTGCTGAAATCAGATTTCAATCATCAATTTGAAAGTACCTTGTGAGTATCATAAGTCTAATTCACACACCAATGTGCTACTGAAAAAAGTTTCCTTACTTTGGCACAATCTTTCTTGCATTAATTGTCAATAATAGGCAAATAATATTATGCTATTAAGCTAAAGTACACAGTCAAAATTCAGAATTCACAATAATTTTATCAGACAAGGAAACAGTATGAAAATATACATGCTGCAATTCAAGAAAGAGGGCTGCAGTGTACATAGCTACAGAAGGGATTGATCAGTGGTATGGCAATTGTATGGGAAAAAGATCTGCAAAGGACAGCACATCACAGACTCATTGAGTCAACTCTGTATTAGGATAAAAAGAATTGTCATATGCAAAAAAAGTAATCTTTGTGCTTTATTCAGTACTAAAAGCTGTGTGTTTTTTCCGTTTAAGAGAAATTCTGTCCCTGTGTTCATGACCACTGCTATTGAAATTTGGGGCAGCTCATTTGGTCTTAATTTTCTATGTTAAATCAACAATTCCTTTTGTCTCCACCTCACCCTTACTGGATAATGCTCCCCTTGTTTCCTTAGTTCCTTTCTGCTTCCACTGCTGAAAAATGCTTTCAGTGAACCCTTAAATTTCCTTTGCAAGACGTGATTCAGCTTGAGTATTGTCAAATGCCCTTTTCTATTCTGAATTCTAAAACAGGCCTTCCTGACTAATGTACCTCATTTTCCTTTCTTCCACGGCTCTCTGCTTCCATCCAATACCCATTTTGAAGAGGCTGAATAAACAGGCAGTTCTGTCTATCCTCCTTGATAAAATGTCTTTTGCCTCCAAATCTGCTCTTGCTTGAAATGCAGGCTTTTTTGCACCTCTGATTCTAACTAAAGAAGGTTCTTGTCTATTTTGCTTTTCAAGACTCACTAGCGCAGTTGTACTTACAAATCAGTTTCTTTAATTTGTTGAGATTTGTCTGGTATCTTCCATTGAAATGGACAGGATCCATTTTCCTTGGGTAAAATCAATTCACCAAGCAAGTGATGCCAGCTGACTCTCAGATCCCTCAAACACAGACATTTATATTTAAGTTTAGAAGGCCTGTGTTACCCTCTGCCTAAAAAAATTACTTCTGTTAATGGGTAAAATAAAAGCCATCCCTAAAAAAATAAAGACCTCTCTTTACTAAAATACATGTAAGAGGATTATGTAAATATCCAAAAATACTAATACACTGTAACCTGGAAAACAACAGGAGTGCTTGGATTGGCTGTCTAGTGTCTTCCTGTTTTCTCCCTTTACACCCATCCCTCTGGTGTATGTCTCCAGTGACCTCCTTTTGGCACCTGCTAAATGACTTGACAAAACACAGAGAAAAGAGGCAAATTATATTTTCTGACAATGCCAACAACTCAGCCTTGGTCCCATGGGACCTAGGAAATGATGAAGCATATGCTCAAGGAAGAAAAATTCCAAATATTGAATCCATGTACAATACTGTCATTAACCATTAAAGTATCAGATGACAAATCATAAATTAATCACAAAAGAAAAAGACTAAATCCTCTCATTCATGTAACCAACAGGTTGTCTAAATGTCTTTGGAATTAAAATGTGGATTGACATGGACAAATCTCAATACCAATGTGACAGCTTTTCACTGTACTCTGATATGTGAGAGAAAGATTACAGTCTCATTTCATGTGGTCAATATAGTAAATTACAGTCAATTAAATGCAGTCAACTGAAGTACATTTTTTGTTGTTTCACTGCTTTATATAATGTGATTTTATGTGAACAAAAACTTTTAACCATGACACAGGACTGCTCTAATATGAAAAGCTGTAGAACAATTTGTATGTATGAACACAAGGAAAGTATAAATTTACAGCCACCTACATTCAGAAAATAGTTGCTAA